CTACTAACCATTGTTTGGGACCAACATTTCAAAATGAAGAAGTGGGCTATGGTAGAGCTCAGCGGGAGAGCCCTGACCTTACATGTGTGGTCCTGGGTTGATTTCTGGCACTGCAAAAGAAACGGGAGTCATTAGGGGTTGGAGAGATAGTACAGCCGGTAGGGTACTTACCTTGCACATGGCTGACCAGGGTCTGACCCCTGTCATCTCATACCGTTCCTGAGTCCCACCAGAAGTGATTCTTGAACACAGAGCTGGGATGTGATCCAAGCACAGCTGGGTGTGGTCCTAAACACACACACAAACAAAAAACCAAATTTTTAAGAAAAAGAAATTTTGTAAGGCATGCTTGGAATGCATATATTACTATCATTATAATGATGATGATTTCTCAGGTATAATGCATATGTCAAATCTCATCGTGTTGAAGAAAAAGATTCTTGCCAACAGAAAGTTTCCAATGCACCGATATAAAGCTTCCTGCACCCAGGAATCACTCCTGACATGCTCGGAGAACCATGTGGGATGCCTGGGGTTGAACCTAGGTAGGCTGCATGCTAGGCAAATGGCGTGCCCGCTGTATTACCACTCTAGTCCTGAATCATTTTATTTATTTATTTTTAATATTGAGACAATTTGATACTGAAAAGCTATCAGATTACAAACATGGACATATTTCAAAAGACACTGGAAAGTCTAGGAAGCATGTTATTATGTGCGTAGGTATGTGTGAATGTGTGTGTGTGTGTGTGTGTGCGCGCGCACACGGGTCTGTTACCAGGGATTAAACCCAAGGCCACATACATGCAAGGGAAGTGCTATGGCTGAGCTATATCACTGGTGCAATTTTTTTCTTTTTTACTCTCTCTCTCTCTTTGTGAGGAGGGGAATACCCAATTGTGCATAGGGCTTACTCTTGGCTCTGTGCTCAAGGACCACTCCTAGTGGGTCTCGGGGGACCATATGGGGTGCCAGGGATTGAACCCAGGTCAGTCACATGCAAGGCAAGCCCCATAGCCCTCTGTATCTCTCCAGCCTCCAGCCCAAGTTCACACAGTTTAGACATAAAAGTAGATCAGTGGAAATGTGTTTTGGTTCTAAGGTCAGGGGCTGTAATCTGATACTACATAACCCAGAATTTGTGTGTGTGGGGGGTGGGGGGGTGGGTAAGGTGGGGGTGGAGGGGGCGGGTCGCTCCTAGCTTATGCTCTAGGCTGACTCTGGCTCTATCACCAGGTCACTCCAGGTGGGGCTTAGGCAGTGGTGTCAAACCCATACAAACACGTCAGACTCCTACTCTGACATGTACTCCAGTCCATAGGGCTGCCTCTCCACGTCCCCTCCCGAGAATATCTAAACAATGACAACTATGTTCGGATTCAGAATCCAACCTTCGATCACATCATGTTGAGTTGTCCTGTTTCTTTGAGCTCCTTCAACTGTGAGCGGTTCCCCTGCCTTTATTTTTGAAGATGCAGAATTTCCCCCATTGGCATCCAGCTGAGGTTTCCTTCTGATAGGATTCAAGTTGAGCATTTTTGACAATCAGAATTGAAGTAACGAAGGGCAGGAGAAATAGTACAGTGGGTCAGGCACTTGCCTTGCAGGTGGCCAACCTAGGTTCAATCTGCTTCCGGGGAGGAAGGGGAAACATCACGCCGGACCGTCCAGAGGGTCTACTGGAACCAGCTATTCCTTCACATATTCATTCACCTGTGCACTCATTCATTTGTTCATACACACATTCATTCACGTGTTTACCTTGCACTCATTCCTTTGCTCACACACATATTGATTTGCTTGCTCACACATGCATTCATTTTTGTTCACACACTGATATGTTCATTCACACACATTCACTTGTTCACACACGAATTCATTCCTTTGTTCACTCAAACATTCAGTTGCTCGTTCACACATACATTCATTCCTTTGCTCAGTGTCTAGGTAGAAAGTGCTCTGTGTCTGGCGCCATGCCAGGTGCCGGGTCTAATGTACGAAACAGGAGAAATGATAGAAACTCTCCTGGAGACTATAAGGAAGGGGGAGAGAAACGTTAAGCAACACACAGTAAACATGTCAGCAGGGTGGGGGTGGGTGGGTGTGAAAAGTTATTTAAAAATTAGTACGCTTGATCAGAGGGGGTGGGCCAGCCCAGGGACCACCTGGCAGAGCTCTGGTAGCCTCTTGCTCCCACACCACAAAATCACCACCACGTTTCCAGCCGGACTCCACTGTCTCAGGACTGAGCCTCACCCGGAAATTAATCTGCTGGAAATACAGGTCTGCCTGTCTTTGTGACTGAAATCTCCAGGCTTTTTCTGAGTTCCCAGAGGGCACTGACTAGGCATCAGGAATGAGAAAAGCTGGTTCTCGGGAGCTCTTTATAATCCTCACTCGCCTCACCTTACCCTGACTCCCCACTGCTGCCGGGGCAAGGGTGAACCCCCTTTCTCAAGCTTTCTTGGCAAAACATGCTGTTTTCAGATTCTCCAACCTCCAGCCCACACCAGTGGAGTCCTGTTGGGAGGGAAGAAGGCCAGTGAGGGGAGGACAGTGCTGTCCTGCTTTGCGGCCGGACTGTCACAGTGTGGCTGGCCACAGGCACAGATTAAACTCCTTGTAGATTTTCAGGGAGCTGTGATCCCCCCCTCCAAGGGGCTCGGGTCCTGCCACTGAGGGTGCAGAGGGGAAGGCATGGCATGACCATGGCCCTGTGGACACACTCGGGAGGGCGGCGGTGCTCACTGGGCTGCCCTAGGTGGGCGTGCATGGGTCTGTCCCAGGTGCCAAAGGGCAGCCAGTGCTGGGCAGCAGGAGGGAAGCCCAGCTTGACCTTTCCCCCGCCCCGACCCCTGCACAGGTGAGTCACACCCGCAGGAAACTTGGGGACTTTACCCGAGTGGGACCTCTGCCCCCACTGAAACTTTGTTTTCTCACCCAGTCACGGTCAGGAATTATTCCTGGCTCTGCACCCAGGAATCACTCCTGACATGCTCGGAGGACCATATGGGATGCCTGGGGTTGAACCTAGGTGGGCTGCATGCTAGGCAAACGCCCTGCCCGCTGTATTACCACTCTAGTCCTGAATCATTTTTATTTTATTTTACTTTTTTGCTTTTTGGGTCACACCTGGCGAGGCACAGGGGTTACTCCTGGCAGTGCTAAGGGGACCATATGGGATGCTGGGAATCGAACCTGAGTCGGCCGCGTGCAAGGCAAACGCCCTACCCGCTGTGCTATCGCTCCAGCCCCCTGAATCATTTTAAATGCCCCCCGACCCCCAACCCAATCAGGAGGTGCTGCTGAAAGGCTCCCAACACCCACATCTCTTTACACTTGACCTCGTGCAACCCTCGCCCATCCCCCCAAGACCTCTCTTTGCACCCAGGAAGTTCCTCCTCCCAGGGGAGGTCACTCAGAGGTGAGTGTGGGGCAAGAGCAACCTCCCTTTGAGGATGAGTCATAGACTGCCTATCTCCAGGGTCCAGGATGAGAATCTCCCATACACCCATTCCTTGCCTCAGGGCTGCTTCTCAGGGATCTGATCCTTGTGACCTCTTTTACTGAGGGAGGCAGGGCACTGCATCACACCCTGCAGTGCTCAGGGGCTGTTCTTGACCCTCTGTTCAGGAGTGACCCCTGGTGGTGCTCAGGGGACCGTGGGAATGGAGTCAGTGGGATGTGAGGCAAACACCTTCACCTCTGTGCTCTCTCTCCAGCCTCCTGCCACAATTTTTTTTTTTAAGGTAAAAGGAAAAGGTCCTCCCATTATTCATCGATTTGCTCAAGCGGGCCCAGTAACGTCTCCATTGGAGAGTTTGTTGTTACTGTGTTTGGCATATCGGATACATCACAGGTAGCTTGCCAGGCTCTGCTGTGTGGGCCAGATACTCTTGGTAGCTTGCCGGGCTCTCCGAGAGGGGCAGAGGAATTGAGCTCGGGTTGGCCATGTTGGCTGCGTGCAAGGCAAATGCCCTACCGCTGTGCTATCACTCCAGCCAATTTTTTAACAGTGAGACATCATGAGGTACAGTTGCAGACTTACACATTTTTGTGCTTGGGTTTCAATTACACAATGATCAAATACCCATCGCTCCACCAGTGCCCATTTCCCACCACCACGGATCCCAGTATCCCTCCCATCCCCCATTCCCCCCATCCCACCCTGCCTCTGTGGCAGGGCATTCCCTTTTGTTCTCTCTCTCTTATTGGGTGTTTTGGTTTGCAATAGATCCTGCCACAATTTTTATTGTTTAAATTTTTGGGCCCCCCAGGGCCTTGCAGTGCTCAGGGGACCATATGGGATGCCAGAGATGAAACCCCAGTTGACTGTGTGCAAGGCAAATGCCCTGCCCGCTGGACATTCTCTCCACCTCCACCCGTCACATTTTAGAGAAGCAAATGCTATTATCCAAAGGAGGCACGTAAGGAGACCAAGGTGACATGGGGGACACCCTAGGCGGAGGCCTCCCCAAAAGCCTCTTAGGGGCATCCGTGAAGGTTGGGACTCCCAGTTCAGGGCTGTCCAGAGAGGAAACTGCTCATGGACACAGGATGAAATCAGAGTCGGTGCTTTTAATCCAAAGCAAAAGAAGATAACATCTGACAAACCTTATCCCTACTTTCCGGCAACTTCTTGATGGGTTGATGAGGGGGTTGGCCCAGTGAGAATCTCCAGGCTGCCCACTGAGAGGTGGTGGGCTGGACCATCCCAGGCCCTCATGGACGCAACCCTGGTTGATGATGGGTACAAAATAGGTAGACAAGCAGGGCCAGCACCAGAGGCTGGGAGTTCTAGATCCTTCAGCAGAGCGGTGACTGGGATGGTGTCAGGAGGAAGGAGGCAGGGGTGCAGGCTGCCAGCAGGACAGGAAGGAAATGGGATGGGGACTGGTCACTGCAGCGTCACAACAAGTCACGCAGCAGCTGCAGGTCCAGGCCAGTGTGCCCTGCCCAGGTGCCCTGGGACTGCCCAGCTCCTTCACTCGGCTGCCAGTTGGGCTCTTTGCTGGGCCTCATGGGTAAGTCTACAGCCCACTTTGTGTGGGGGAGGGGTGGATCAGCGAGGCCAGGCGGTGCTGAGTTCCTTCTCCAGGGCCTGAATGAACTGGTCGTTGAGGAAGAGCAGCTGGCCGTGGGGTAGGAAGCGAGAGAGGATGGCCTCGATGCGCTCGACCCGAAGGAGGAGGTTGGTGTTGGGGCTGAGCAGCCGGAGGTGGTCCAGGAGGAGGCGTGCCAGCAGCCGGAGTGTGTTCTCGGCCAGCAGCAGGTTCTCATGGGCGTCCAGCACCAGGGCAAAGCCCAAGGAGAGCACACCCAGCCACAGCACCGTCTGCGGCTCCCGGAAAGGGTCCCCGGCAGCCAGACCGAAGACTCCTAGCGGGGCCTCATGCAGGGCCACCGGTTCATCAGTGGCCTGGGGCGGCGGGTCCAGGGAGGCGCGGCCGGATGCCTGCAGCTGAAGTCGCCACATGCTCTCCACCTGCCTGGGGGGAAGCCCGGGTAACCGACTTCTACTGTCCCCACCAGGAACCCCACTCCATGCTCATCCCCTCTCCCCAGCCCAGAAAGCTCATCTCGAGGGCTGGAGGCATAGTGCAGGTGAGTGGGGTGGGGGGCTTGCCTTGGAGGCAGTCTTTCCCAGGTTTGACCCCCACAAGACCACATCTGGTCCCTTGAGCCCCGCCAGGGATGATCCCTGAATGCAGAGCCAGGAGTAAGCTCTGAGCCCAGCAAAGTGTGGCCCAAAACCAAAAGGAAAGAAAACCTCCCCCCTCCCCCCCATCAGTCAGAAGAACGTGGGGCTGGACCGTGCGGTTACCTGGCCACTGCCAGGAGCTGCTCCTTGCGAAGAAGCCTGTCCCTCTCGGCTCCGTGTGGCCGGGGGTCATCAGGGGACTTCTCAGCGCCAAACACACAGGAGTACAGCACTCTGCAGAGGCCTGTGTCTTCGGCATGCGGGGCCCCCAAGGTATGGATCAGAAAGGCGTGGACCATGGCGCCAGGTGGGGTGCTATGGGGAAGACAGAAAACTTGGTGAGAAGAGCTGAAGGGCTGCAGGGGTGGCGACCTTGGGAAAGGCTGGTTGGCAGAGTCTGCAGCATGGAAGAGGCCACAGCTCCCCTCTCCACACAGGCCCCAAGCTCTGAATGATGATTCTTTGATCAGCACCTCCTCTGCCCCTAACCAGTCTAGTAGGGAAAAGGTGTCAGATGAGGGGCCAGATAGTCCAGTGGTTAGGGCACTTGCCTTGCACACAGCTGAGCCAGGTTTAATCTCCAGCACTCCATATGATTCCCTGAGCCCCTTAAGGAGTAATTCCTGAGTGCAGTCAGGAATAAGCTCTGAGCACTGTGGGGTGTGGCTCAAAGTAACAAAAAAAAAAAAAGAGAGAGAGAGAGAGGATGGGAATTTCAGGACCAAAAAAATGGCTCAATGGGCTGGAGCTGGTGCTATGTATGCGAGACTTCAAGGCACTCTGCAGGTTCCCCCCAGACATTCCTGAAAATCCACTGTTGAGTACTACCCCAGTAATACCCCCCAGAACCATCAGGTGCATGCCCCAAATAAAAAGTTAAGTTTCAGGGCACATCTACACAATGGAATACTATGCAGCTGTTAGGAAAAATTAAATCATGAAATTTGCCTATAAATGGATGAACATGGAGAGTATCATGCTAAGTGAAATGAGAGGGACAGATATATAATGACTGCATTCATTTCTGGTATATAAAATATATATAGCAGAAGACTAATATCCAGGAAAAAGGGCTAGGAGGATTGGTCAATAGTTGGAATCAACCACAAGTATGTATGGGGCGGAGGGTAGGTAAAATAGAGAAGGGAGGGGCTGGGGCGATACCACAGTGGGTAGGGCGTCTGCCTTGCACACAGCTGACCTGGGTTCGATTCCCAGCATCCCATATGGTCCCCTGAGCACCACCAGGAGTAATTCCTGAGTGCAGAGCTAGGAGTAACCCCTGAGCATCGCTGGGTTTGACCCAAAACGCAAAAAAAAAAAAAAAAAAAAGATAGAGAAGGGAGCAGTACAACAACAACAGCTGGGAATGATAGCAGTGGACAAGAACTGAGTGTTAAAATTAGGGAAAGGAATGTTCCTGATAACCTTTCAGTATCAATACTGCAAATCACTATGTCCAAAAGGAGAGAGACAGAGACGGAAGAAAAGCACCTCCCACCAGATGCAAGCTGGGGGTGGGGGGTGAGGGGTGATGGGAGGGAAACTGGGGACACTGCTGCCCGGGACATGTACACTGGTGGGGGGGATGGGTGCTGGAACACGGTACGACTGAAACCTAATCATGAACAGCTTTGTAAGGGTCTGTCTCAGTGATTCAACTAAAAAAAAAAAAAGTAATTAAGAAAATTGAGTTTCAGTTGAGTCAAGGGTGCAATGACGACAACTGGAAACACTGAGTGGAGTTAGAGAATAGTCTTGATCAGCGCGGCCTGATTCCGAACGGAGAGCGTCTGTTTTTTGGAATGCACCCTCACCTAATGCTAAAACAAACTAAACGCTAAATCCATCCTAGCTGCATGAAACTTACAGAGGGTCTCTGCCAGTTCCTTGTAAAAGTCATCTAGAATGCCTTCCTTGAAGTCATCTATAATTTCGCCGTTATTTCAGGGTGAGAGATGAATAATAGAAACAGTAACAATTAGGGCTGCGTCCTCGGCGGCCTCTGCGTGGAAAGGCAGAGGGCACAGGGTAAACAGCTATATCTGTCGCTAGGCAGACTCCGTTTGGACTGGCACCGCCGAGCGCCCGCCACGGCACCCCCTGCCGGGGATCGGGGGAACTGCATCTGCCGGGCAGCGGGGTCCGCTCCAGCCCGGGCCCCGCCCGCTCGCGGCCGAGGGCGATCCCTCCGGCCCCCATCTCCCGAGCACCGCAACCACGTGTGCACGGCCAGGACGTCATGACAACAGCAATACGGAGAAGAAGGGGAGGAGAACAATTAAAACGGCGCTTCGAAAAGCTGTCACTGGAGAAGCTGGCCTGGTACAGGGGGTCGGGAGAGACACGCCAGGGCCCGAGCCGATACGTCAACAGCCCTCGACGCTGAGCCGCCCCGCCCCTCCCCATTGGGGACACGGTCGCGGAAGTTACGTCACCGCCTCGCGCGGCACGGCGGCGCAGGGGGTTCTGGGGGATGTAGTTCCCTGCGCCCGCGGCCCACGTCTTAAGCGGGGTATCTTGCGTCGAGGGTGCTGCGCCTGAAGACCCCGGTTTCTGCCCTTGCGGCATCTCACTCACCCCTCCTTCCAAGCCCGCAGAGGTCGAGCGGGGGCCCCGCCTCGCGGCAGCGGGGAATGGCGGCGGCCAGGCCCTTGGACTCCGGCGCGCAGCAGTCACGGGCGCGCGTGCGCATTGAGTGCAGCGCGCAAGGAGGGCGGGGCCTGGCGGCGAGGGTCGCGCAGCGGCGGCTCTGCGGGAGCATCGAGGTCGGATGCGGGTTGCGCTGAGCTGCAGCCTCCGGTCTGACCCGCACTCCTGCCCGCGTCTCCCGGCGGGGCCCTCCCGCACGCGCTCGTAGCCGGGCCCCCCGGGCCGCAGCACTGGCCCGGACGGCCGCGAGAGGGCGCAGCGAGCGGGCGCGGCATCCCGCTGGAGGCCCCCGTGCTGGCCCCGCTGCCCACGGCTGGACTCCGGGGGTCGCGGGGCGAGTCTCCAGCGCGCCCGTGCACGTGGGGTCCGCGGGTATCAGGCTTTGCCCTTGGAAATGATCGTTTTGGGGGAAAGCCGTTTCCCCTAAAACTTCCCCCCTGTTTGGGTGGGAGGTAGGAGGGGTACGGACTGGACTGTCCCTTGGCGTGCACGAAGACTGGAGTCGGGAGCCCCCAGGAAGGACAATTCACCTTGCACACGGCCGACCCAGGTTCGATCCCTGGCATCCTATATGGTCCCCTGCGCCCGCCAGGGGTGATGCTGGAGCACCACTGTGCGTGGCCCCAAAGCCAGAGATCAAAGAGTAGGATTCGGTTTGGAGCAGTAGCCCCAAGCATGTCCCTGGAAAGCCCGGGACGACGTGGGTCTCCAGGGAAGTCCCGTAGGGGGACCCCCAGGCCGGTCTAGTGAGGCTGACACACCTTCACGTCCTCTTGAGCACTTGAGTCCACCTTAGGAAGGCGGGCAGATGTGGAGACAACTGCTTTAGACCAGAAAGCTGAAAGGGGCCCCACGGGCAGAAATGAAGGGTAAAGCCTCAGTTGGACCTTCAGCCCTGAGGAGCGCGGGCTCCTGCCGGCCTGCCCTCCCCTGCTCAGAGTCCCTCCCCACACACCCTTAACCCAGGTACTCCTTACCCCACTCATTATTACCATGCCCCACCGTGTAACTGTCACAAATTTATGCCCAGGTGATGGATTTGGTGCCCAAAGTTGGGTTGCAAGGGTGAATTGGTACTTTAGGTGGACACACCCAGTGGTACTCCCTGGCGCAATGTTGGGAAGTGGTGCCAGGATGGACTCATGGCCTCCTGAACGCACTGCATCAGCCCAGCCTGTTCAGCTTGTCTCTCTAGCCTGTCACTTCTTTCTTTTCCAAGATTATAAATCCAGTTTGGGGGCTGAGTCAAGCTGGGGCATCTGCCTTGAAACGCGGTCTTAGTCTTTGCCCCTTTGGCTCCCCTTGTGCTCTTGGGAGGGCAGGCTGTGCCTTCCTGTCTGCGCTCACACAGTCAGCCAGGCACTGGCTGGGGGCCACACTGCCCTTGTGCCTGCCTTCTTGCCAGCGGTGCTCTCCAGAGCCGTGCTCCTGCGACAGTGCCCCCATAGCCCCCGCAGCCTCTGCTCTGTGTCGTGGCCTCATAGAGTGACACAGACCCTTGTGAACCATCTCCTCTGTGCCATTCCAGGCCCCGCTCCCCTCTCCTGGCCCTTCCTCAAGATTCCGGAAACTCACTTCACAGGCTTGAGCAGACTTTGCCGACAGTCCCGGTTCCAACCCTGGTACTGCTTGGTGCCCTGACCCCCACCAGGAGCACAGAGTCAGGAAGGATTAATTCCTAAACTACACCCGGTGTAACCGTAACACAAACCTAAACAAAAAGGGACTCCGGGACCGGAGTGATAGTACAACAGCTAAGGCTCTTGCCTTGCTCGCAGCCGACCTGAGTTCAATCCCCGGCATCCCATATGCTCTTTAAGCCTTGCCCAGAGTGATCCCTGAGCATCGCCAGGTGTGGCCCCCAAATAAACAAATGTATGTATTTTTATATGTATGTATATAAAAATATACATATGTACGTGTTTTTTTCGTTAAGGAATTTAGACCAAAGCTTAGGGGAAAACCTCCAGTCTGGACATCCCGTTCTCATTTGACTGTCCCCTGCTTTGACCCCTTGTAGGGTGGGAGTCTCCCTGTGGTGGGAATGTTTCTACAAAGTACCCCCATATTATTGGTGCCTGGCTTCTCCTCTCGGTGTCGTGCACCGGGCAGGCCTGGAGACAGTCAGTAGTGTGAATGTTGGTGACTGAGGGATGGAGGAGCCCAAGTGGGGGCTCCTGGTGCCAGATTCTCCCAGACAGTGGCCAGGCCTGTCTGGTCAGGGGTTCTGGGCCGGAATGCATGAAAAGAGTCTGGAGGAGGGGCAAGTGCTGGGCAGGGTGATATGCCTTCAACCCCAGGATGAGTGTCCCGGAAATGCATCTCTGGTGGCCAGGGGTGGGTCAGACACACGGGCCCTCAGCCCAGAGACCAGGGTGGTGCTGGCACCATGCATGAGCCCCCGTCCTTATCACTCCCAGCCAGCACCAGGCCTGCTGACTCACCCGCTGATTACCGCTGAGACTTGGCAAAAGGCTCTGGCCACAGAGGGCCCCTCGCATCTAGAACACGGTATATCACCCTCTCACTCAGGCCTGAGTCCACTCCTAGTCTCAGGCCCCTGGGGGAGAGGTGGAGACAGCCTGGGTGAGGTATTGAGAGAGGCTGGTCTGAGCTGGGTGGGGCAAGTTGTTTCCTGGGAGCAGGATGGTGTGACCTGAAGGTCTTGGAGGGAGGCTACCCGGGGGTGTGCCTTGTGGAGTCCCTCCTGGCTCCAGCACATCTTCCCAAGGGGGCCTGGGTGCCAGAGGGCAGTGTTCACCCTCGGACACAGCCAGCCACGCAGGACACTCCATGCCGACCACATGTCAGTCCCGGACCTGGGCGTTCACATGCGGGTTCTACCCGTGTGCGAGGAGCGCATGTTCACCGTGTCTCACAGCAGCTTCTGTGTCATCCGTGCCCGGTCCTGTGCCCATACCTCCATGGCACTGAGAAATCAGAGAGCTATGGCACCAGCACATGAGTGCGGGTGGAAGAAGCCAGTCACAGGGGTCAGAGCCATAGCACAGCGGGGAGGGCGTTTGCCTTGCACACGGCCGACCCGAGTTCCATCCCCAGCATCCCATATGGTCCCCCAAGCACCGCCAGGAGTGATTCCTGAATTCGCAGTGAGGAGTCAGCTCTGTGCACCACTGGATGTAGCCCAGAAATAAGAAAACAAAACAAGAGGGGCCAGAGCCATAGTACAGTGGGGAGGGCACTTACCTTGTATGTGGCTGACCAGGATTTGATCCCCAGCATCCCATATAATTCCCTGAGCCCCGCCAGGAGTAACTCCTGAGTGCAGAGCCAGGAGTGGTGACAGAATGAGCGGGTTATCTGGAAGAGCAATGGCTAGAGGGGCCAATGAGGATGGAGGGAGTCATGTTCTGGATGGTGGGGAGATGGGCGTTCACTTTGCAAAAATTAACTTAAGTGTATAGTTAAGGTATGTGCACATCTCAGTCCATTGAATGCAAGAAAAACTTCAGATAAAAAAAATCGGCCAGGGGGCTGGAGCGATAGCACAGCGGGTAGGGCATTGCCTTGCACGCAGCCAACATGGCCGACACAGGTTCCATTCCCAGCATCCCATATGGTCCCCCGAGCACCGCCAGGAGCAATTCCTGAGTGCATGAGCCAAGAGTAACCCCTGAGCATCACTGGGTGTGACCCAAAAAAGCAAAAAAAAAAAAAAATTTGGCCAGAGGCTGGAGAGATAGTCTACTGGGCAGGATGCTTATCTTGCATGCAGCTGGCCTGGGTTTGATCTCCAGCATCCTGTAAGGTCCCCCGATCACTGCTAGGAATGATTCCTGAGCACAGAGCCAGGAGTAAGCCCTGAGACCTGCCCAGTGTGGTACAAAAGCGAAAGAAAACAAACCACCAAAAAACCAGTGATGCTCAGCTCCTGCTCCTGCCTCTGTACTCAGGGGGCCGTCCAGGGTGCCAGAGGTCAACCTGGACTGGCCACATTGCCCGGCTGCCCCCTGTGCTGTCCCTCCGGCCCTGTGAGGAAACTATTTTCTGCACTAGAAAAATACAAGGTTTCTGTTTGCACCTTGAGTTTTGAGTTTTGATTTGTTCGGGGTAGAGGGATGCCTTGCAGTGCTCAGGGGCGACACTCTGTGCTCTGTGCTGGGGGTTGTTGTGCCCAGCTGTGCTCAGGGGACCGTGCAGTGCCAGAGACCGAACCGGAACTGCTGCGTGCGTGCTGTCTCTCCAGCCCCCTGATGAGATTTGGGGCTGGAGAAACAGCGTCACACACAGCCTCTGAATTGGCTCCGGATGCTCCCTGCTGGGGCCAACACTGCACAGCACGACGGAGGGTGGGAGGCAGGTCGAGAGAACTCCAGTCTCCAGAGCAGGTGGGAGGGAGGAAGGCGAGAGGGCGGAGGGAGAAGGGCAGGAACAGCAGGACTCAGAGGGAGGCAGAGGGAAGCAAGCATGCCTGCCGTTGACTCATTCATGTACTTGCTCTGCCCAGAATGTGCCCCAGGTAGCACTTTCCGGAGGTTCTGTTAGCAAGAGAGAGGACCCAGAGACTCAGAAGTGAGGAGGAGCAATCAGGGCATGCTGCCCGGAGGAGGGTGGCCACCCTGGGCTTTCTGGAGAGGTTCATTAGCTGCAGCTGGTGGGCAGGGCATTCTGGATATGAAAATGGTTAGAACAAAGGCAAAGTGATGGTGGTGGTGGTGGTGTGTCAGGGGACAGAGCCATAGTCCAGAGGGTAGGGTGCTTGTCTTGCATGTGGCCGGCCCAAGTTCGATCCCCAGCATCCCACAGGGTCCCCTGAGCTCCTCCAGGAGTGATTCCTTAGTACAGAGCCAGGAGAAAACGCTCAGCAGTGCTGGGTGTGAACAAAAAAAAAAAAAAAGTCCACAGGCAAAGGGATGTGAGGTCAGCAGCGCCTGCCCGAAGGGCCCTGCGCCCTTCCTCAGTTAGAGGTCCTAAGTGTAGGGGAGAAACATGTCCTCAACTCCCGGCCCACCCAACAGATAGGGTGCTGCACGACCATCTTTCCCTGAAGAGGGGCAGCAGGCGGGGAGGAGTTCAGATGCCAGACATTTGTCCCAGACTTTTGGCATCT